TCTATCCCCTGTACAGACAACCCTGTATTCTGTATAGGTAAAACATACCTACAGGTATTGACACGGGCACCAATTATCACCAGGAGGGGGACCCCATTTTATTCTCAAGTACATTTTTATTTTCTTAGCATTACACCATAAAGAGGACATATTTTCTTTCCATTAGGTGCCAATTCAGGGTACGGGTGTAGCACACAAAGCACGGCACTTGAGCAAACACCCCTCAGCTCTGGGTACAATGCCCCACCACTACCGCGGTGTTGGTGTTTCTACTTAGCGGGCTTACTGTGGATGGATTTAAATATACTTCGTCTATAGCTCTGATGACAGGGGCCATTGTCAACGGTATCAAAATATGTCTCATCAATTTCGGTTTCAATTTTCACCATAAAGCTGAAAAATATCTCTACATGTTATCAAAAAGCCATACTTCATTGTGGCACAATCCCTCAGCTCAAGTCTGAAATGGCTTTAACATAGTGAAGTAATCTGTACTGAAGTAAGAAGAGATTCCCCTTATTGTTCAACAATATTGACTAAGGTCAGGTGCGATAAAGCATTAGGTTGGTTTGGTCAGCAGACGTTAACGTTATGGGGTCGTCACAAATAGGCTAGCCATGCCCACCACCAACCTGTGGCCGTCCCCAATCCGTCCCTAGTCAGTAAACGGGGCGGTGTTGTGTTTCCCGTCAGTAAACGGGTGTTGTACATACTCTATAATTACCCCATCTACAGCCAACCCTACGACTTTTGTACCACAGACGTTTTAATGATGTTGTACTTGGTCTGTACCAAAGGTGGCCCACCTTTACAGCTTCTGTGTAAAACTGTCCATGGGATATCAGTTTATAGCTTTTCACCTATAATGACTTAAAAGGTCTGATACCCACCTACGTTTTATGCGAGTAGGTTAGCTATGGTTCAACCCCACCGTAAGCTTTGTTGTTGAAAAAACAGGTCCAACGAATATTTTCATATTTGCTCTATCGCAATTTTCTTACATGTTGACAGTTGAAAAGGTGTTTTTTTCATAAATACAACAAAAATGCACTTGTACAAACACCATATTATTTATGGCAACTGAAATTTAAATTTTCCAATGTCATTTAAAAAAAATAAAAAATAAAAAACAGCCACATCTCTACTCAAGTGGAATTTATTAATATCTATAAAAGTTTCCATCATCACATAATTAGAAGTGTTGAAATGTTAAGTAGTTCATCCATATGATGGTGTATATATATGATAAATTTATTAAAATATGTATAAAAAAGGTATAAATATCAGGCATCTATAATAGCAAAAATATATTTTAATATTTTACTTCTTAACCTAATACCTTGCTGTGTACAATAAGAGCATAAAGGTTGTTTCAGATGTCTTTTTTTTCATTCTGCTTACTGTTTGTTGAAGTTACCAAAACCACACAACCAGAGACAGGTAACTTTAGCAGATTGATCAATATTGTCATATCTACCTAACATATTTATCCTACAGTAAACCCAGGGGCCAACACACATAAATAGCTTGGACATGGGGTGTGTCTATTCGGATAACGAAACAGCATTATGGGCTATTCTGAACTGTAATGAAAATGGTTGTGCTTGTTACCAGGTATGGGATGTTTTTGTCAATAAATATGTTTCTTAATGAAATTTCTGACAATTTTTAAGACATTTACGGTAGTATTTAATGCCACACATCTACAGTCGTCACCCAGACAAAATTTCCAATATTTCATTGGTCTTTATACATTTAGGGGTAAACCTGACAAATCTACTCCACACAGACACCCAGCACTTCAACCCTAAAGCTACCCTACACTTCAACCCTGTATCAGCACTTCCATCGATCCCCATATAATGGTGTACAAATTCATGTTTTCTATACAAGTCAGTGAAAAGAGCATTCCTCCTACTTGAACTCATAGTTGTCAATTTCTCAAATTCCTTTACATTTGTTTTTTGTGGTGAATGACCATCTATCACATGTAGAGTCTTAGCAAGAAATACACAAGGCATTGAACAATATGCTAGATGTTGAAATTCTAGAATATATGTACACAATATTTTTTATAATTATTTGTGAGATTGGTTACTACCTATGATGTCACTACCTTTAACGAGAGCTTACAGTGGTGTAATTTGACGTGGTGGTGGTTAATACAATTGGAAATACCTGAAATAACATTCTAACTCTATATTGCACAGGTGATAGTGGTGGTTAATACAATTGGAATTACCTGAAATAACATTCTAACTCTATATTACACAGGTGATGATCTTGGACACTGTACCAGTCTTTTATCCGACGACTTTCTTTAGTACTTAATTGACTTTAATCCAATAATAGATTCTTTCCCAACTAATATAACATGCAGATATTTTACATTCATGTTATTAATAATGATTTTAGATTTGTGAAATCAATATCTTCTGATTTCAATACAATTTTTTCTTCACTGATGTTCTCAAATTACTACAAATATTTTAATTTGATTGGATAATATGCAGGATAGAGATTTTCTGATATTATACATGGTATAAATTATTACAAATTTCCTAAATTTTTCAAACTTATCAGCGTAGTCTTCCATCATATATTTTTTTATTATCATATGAAATATAAATCCAACTGTTCAACCTTTCAGTAATTGAATAATTTTATAGCAAATTTCTCAACTTCAAAACTGAATGAATCGTAAACATTTTATTTCTTATTGGTGTTATCCTTTGTTAGAAAATCAATTTGTGAGTTTTTCTGGTGGAGAAGAATAGTTGTATTTTGTATAGAGATTGTAGTGTTTTGTCCTGCACAGGTATGTACTATGGGACGTGTTGGTCGACGCCACCTCTTCCTCTGACTAAGTCAACACCACCGAGTCCTCACACTTCGTCACACGCATTATCTCACCAAAGACGCAACACCCAAATACACAGGGCCACAGAAAGGACATGTATTTTACACCATGCTGAAATTACTCCAGACCAAAAAAACTTTAAATTTCTCAAACTTACAAAATACTCAAGACAAATTATATTCCAGTTTCTTTTATGTCAGAAAGAAGCCACAAAATTATCTATGTATTTTGCAGGTACTTGAGATTTCAAATTAAAATGTATGTTCGTGTTTGAGGTTTAATTTAAAACCCTCCGTAAATATTACTGCAGTATGTCAGTGGTGAAGTGGCCGATACCTCATTTTCTTCCACAGAATTTCATATGTTAACAAAGAATCACTCAAAGTGCTTTTACAGGAAAGATGTTCACCTAAAAGATTTTTTTCAACGAACTTAAGTGTTTGATTATCAAAATTAATTCTACTTCTTGAGGATTAACTAACTATAATGTGAATGTGTTTGCGCTTCATTTAGATTTTTTTCTGTAAAATTTAAGCAAGGAAAAACATGTTCCAGTAGTGCCAGACATGTAAAAATATTGAGATCAATGTTACAACATTGTGTTTCAAATCATAATTCATCCAGCACAATGACCCCCTCAAGTAAACCCCAAGCCACTGGAGGACGTCCACAGCCTGTGATTGGTGCGATGTGGACATCGCCAGGGAGACGGTGGCAGTGGTGGTCATGCCAATCTCGCGATGAGATTACGGTCAGCATTTTTGTGTTTTCATACTGTATAATAACCCAGCCACATCATTACTTTGACAAGATCATAATTCTTGTGGTTATTGATCTTGAGCTTAGTAGATAACACTCTCCATTTGTAAGATTTCAAAATCTCCTTGAATACAACAAAAACATTCGGATCCAAATTTTTGAAGGACGAAGGTATTAAACAAACCATGAATGTAACAGAATTAAGAGGTATTGTTCCTTTTATTTCACTCTGGAAAAAAAGGAGTAATAATTTGTGCACAACTTCTTGATTCCTTGGAGACAATGTAGAGATATAGGGTTATCTTACTGCCAAAAACGTGTATAGATATGAAACTACCTTATTCCCACCAGATCATAGAAATATGCAACCTACTCCGATTACACCATTATAAGATGTGACAAATAGACAATGTCAATTAATACAGCAATGATATATTAAGATTACCTTACTCCCAAAAGACCATGTAAATTTAAGACAAAGAGTAACCTCATTCCCAATAAACCATGTAAAAGACAACTTTCACATCAGAGCCACAGAAAAATCTAAATCATTTTTTTGTAGTTGAAAATTTTGTGATCTTTGGCCTTGACTGTCAGTCCCCAAGGTCGGCGTGCTGTGCCGCCGTCATCAATTACATGACGACTATACGACGTTGTCACGGAGGGCCCACTGGACGACACCCCACAGCCATTTACCAGCAGATCCCTTTATACAGTCACACAACTGTCTAAATCTCTCTGTTTTTGTACCAGCTTCCATTGACAGGATTACAGATCCACGATCCCTTCACACATGTCCATGTATATATACTGTCACTCCAGTGTATATACTGTCACTCCAGTATATAAAGTCACCGAAGTTTGTACCCCTTGAATTCATCAACATTTTTATATATATTATATCTGTATCTCCAAAATACTACTAAATTCAAACAGCGTTGACACCATTTAAACTTTTCTGCAGTCCCCCCACTATAAAGAATGGCTATTTTGTCATTCTACTGCTGATACATGGGATCTCATCAACTACGTTGCAAACAAAGCCTATTAGGCCATCTTTTATTACCCAGTCAAATCCCCAGGAAACAGTTGACCAGACACTCATTAATCAAAAAGTTCACACATTTTACAAAATGAATTTGATCTGGGACTCTACTGGTAACTAAACCCAACATATAAATGCAAAATAGATTTAGAGTAATTTGTATTTCAAATTTTTCTTTCTCCCATTTTTGATCATTCCACAATAACAAGTCACATGACCAATCATTTGTTTGTCCCATCTCTATTTCTCTCAATTCCCGAGTTTGATCAGTTTATAAAATGTCACTGAATATGCTGCACAAGATCCCTTAAAGTGGAGTACATTAAGGAAACTTACCCCATTGTTTGTGTTGTCTTGAGAACCACCTTTGTATGTTGTCCATTCTAGTCGGCTTATTTTTGTTGTGTCTAGTAATACAACTGAAAATATAAAGGAAAACAAAGTTACAAAAGGACATCATCAATGCCACTTCAAACCAAAGACGGTTAACAAGCACAAACACTTCATTATTAGCCTAATTCAATATCAAAATTAAAAACTTTTTTCACATGCAATGTTCTTTTTTTTCACAAATTTTTGCTTTTCCAGTACATGTTTCTCAATAAAAAGACCATTGAAAATGAAAATTTGAAATTTCTATGAATTCTTTCCTCATTTTTAAGTTAAATCTGAGATGTCATTTTTCCCCCTGAAATTAAATTTTCAATAAAAAGAATAAAGATTTATCAGAAAAATTATTTCCCCATATTAGCACAACACAAATATGACTGCAGTTTTCCATTGTCATCCAAATTACACCAAATTACTGAATACACAACTTAAAAACTCATTTTTACTTTTCATTAAAGTTTGTAAATCAATATACACACAATGGAGGGATATTACATATACCACAATAATCTACGCCATCTCTCAGACTTTTAAACAAGACTTGGAGAGATGGTTTCCAAGGTCGGATTGAATATGTTTCTTTGGAAGGGAAAATTCAATTTAAATTTTAATGTGTGTTTTAAATGTAATTATTAGGTAAGCCAGCTTAAAGGCACAATATTAGACTCGAGGATAATTTATGGTAAATGTACTTGGATTTTGATACAGAAAATTTAACATTACAAGACAAAATTTTCAGGATGAATATTTGGGTTTTCTTTAAATTTTTATTATAACATTTTTGCTACAAAGTAATCTATTTATGAACTATAAGACATTCATTTATTCATATTTTTGAAAATCTGTTTTATAACACACATAATTTGTTTGTGCATATTTACTGTATGTAATTTCTACACGATTTGTCTGAACGTTATATTTCTCCATCCATCATCACGACTGTCCTTTAGCAATTGTCACTATACCTTAGGACACCACACAGAATACATTCATAATCATTTCTTGCACAACAAAAGACATCCAATTCATTTGATGAAAAATGAGGCGATGTCGTTTCTGTTTAGTTGAAAGGTTGGTGGACTAGTAAACCATCTGACCTTTGAACCTCTCTACCATCCATCACGAAGGACATAACCGAGGTGATGACCAAAATCTATCATCTCAAAAAGGTTTCCACAAAATGTTTAAACTGAATTTGTATTTTTTATACCACAATATAAAACCTTCTCTGAAGGACAGCTTTTATAGCAGGCAGTTAATCAGCTACACTCCACGACCTCTTGTCTAATAGTACAATAGAAAACTTGCTATATCTGAAATGGTTTTTAACGCCAAACAAAAAATTGACACACTTGATAAAACTGAAAAGGCAATGATCTAAACCAAATTTAAAAAAAGATTTGACTCAACATTTGTATAACTAAAGTATCAAGATAGAAAACTGAATAACTTTTTCAGACGACTCACCATTTTGTTTAATCAGATGTATACGTTGAATTTCTATTACACAACGTACTTTAACAGCCTGCAGAGGAGGCAGGACAGGAGACTAGTAGAATTAATTCTCAAACCGCCAAGCTATTGTTGGGTCGTATAGACTATACCATGCTAATGACAAGCCACCCAGCCCATTGTTGGGACTTGAAGACTCGGCCTTACTAATGACATGTTATCATGCCCATAAAACACCTAAACACCAAAACATCTGGGTCATCATCATCAGGGCTAGACACTGTCGGATCATATGATTGGTTGATGAACCTGTAAGCCTTCACATGATTGGTCAATCCTTGAAAGAGGTATCTAGCACCATATATAACTGCTCAATTGCTGAAGATATTGGGTATCAGTTTTCAGAAAATAAGGGGGTAGAGGCGATCAGGGAGAGGTAGTGGAGTAGAGAAAAGAGACGGTGTCTCCAGACCCCATCTGGTGACGACTGATGACAACATTCCTGTCCCGCAGACTGCACCACAACCACTTGGGAGAACCCAAAGTGATTACTGTATGTGACAAGACTTTAACGCCTCTGTGTAACACGCGGTATGTTGGCATGCCCGAAAGTCAAACTGACCATCAGAATGAAATAGTTTATCTTTACATCGTCTGTAACAACTGGACCTCTTTGAAACTTCTCTCTGCAATGTACCAAACCATCATTACAGAATTGTCTCTCCCAACAGTACCCCTGAGAAAACTGATAGCCAACTAGCCCCTGATAGGCATATCACCTCCTTGTATACAAGTACCCAATAACTGGGAGCTATTAGTATCATTGGAGGACTCGGAAATGGCCCTATTCAAATCTGAGTGTCACCACTTCAAAGTTATAAGAGAGCAAGTTTGACATCCGTACACATTTATGGGGGCTGGGACAATTCAGACTCATCAACTTCCTCATCACAAATTACTAATTTATAATAATGACATTATGTACCCTTGTTCATCTCGTGTCATTATCCTAAGATGTTTATCTCATTTTCTAACTTCAGAGTATACTATACTGCTGTCACATACAGTACCACTGTCATTACTACGTTAGCCAACATGGCGTCCACAAATTGTTCTGAAAATATATCTATCATTTGTATCAAATAATAATAAGATATGAACGTAGAACAAAAGACTACGACCTAGAAACATGACTACCACAATAAAGCCTTGATTAAGACCATGAAACCGAGACCAAGTTCTCGAAATCTTCTGAAAGAAGTTAAAGAATTTGACTCAGCCTTACATCATCTATTGCAACCTTGAACCATGATCGTGATCTTGAAACTTTGATCATGACATTGTAACCTTGATCAAGACCTTGAAACTTTTACCAGCAACTTGAATCCTTAAAATCATGACTTTGTAACCATGACCACGACCTTGAAACTGTTATCAACACCTTGATACATGATGTGATATCAGGACACAAAAGTTTTTTCAAATCCAATCAATGATTATATGAAATAATGATATAATATCCTTACAACTGTTATATATAGCTTTACTCTGTGTTGACCTTTAAATTCTGTAAAGTCACCATTTATCTTACCAGTTTGATTTTATCTTAGGCTGTGATCCTAGTTACTACCAGTCACCTAACCTTACACTACACCATCTGTAATTGTCAGTGAATTACCCTACATCAAGGTACACGTTCCCTCCAGTTTAATTCCTACACAAAACCAAATGGGACCTAGTTGGTAAAGTCGTTACATATATTGTAGAGTCATTGGGAGTCCTATGTCCTGTTTACAGACAGTATGCAATGCCCCTCCCCCTAAACCTCCCTCTACCCCTCTCATATCTCCTAGACCAAAATTGGGTATTAAAAATCGTTTTGAGAACATAGCGGAGTTAAAATGTTTGAGGAGTGTGTCTGATCCCCACAATGTTTGTGTCAGGTGTAGATGACTGTTGTCACGGACAACATCTCCTTCACTCTGATCACCAAGGCAGCTTTAAAGGATATTAAAAATCTTTTTGGAATTATAATGTCACATTAAACGTTTGAAGCGTCTGTCAGTAGAGAGCCGTCGACTAACAGGTATGATGAAGTTGTCTCGGCCGGAGTCCAATATTAACGAGTATCACCTGTATCTTACCTGTCAACTTACACATACCTGAGGTCTGACTCAACCAAGAACAAAAGCAGTCCCACAACACTGCATTAATGTTACGGCTGTATTCTATATATAAATGTCAGAATGTTAAAATAAAAGATGGATGTTAACCCTATCATTATACACACCACAGATATGTGTAGTAGCTCTGGCTTCGTAAAGGTATTTTATACACGCATTATCTACTTCCTAATTACACCTGAGTTAGTCACTGTGATATTGGTATAACTGATCGCTATCGTGGGGCCTTACTTTCATGTTATCAATGGCTATCTATATCAATAAATCTTTAAAATTTAATATAAAGGAATGCAAGGAAAAATTGGAATTTAATCTTAATAGTTTAGAGCAATTTTTACCCAGACACCTTTTTAAATTCCAAATATTTATCTAATATTATAAACTGGTTTAAAAAAAAAATATCATATTTTTTTCAAGTCCAAATCATTTATTTCCCTATTACGATCTAGGATTACGATTTCCCATGTGCACAAGCTATTGAACACACATATTTCAAACTGCACGCCTGCTAATTGGTGCCTTCAGGCATGTTGATGAATTAACAAGCAAATTAAAGGCCTGATGGTGTCAATTAAAATCCCTTAGTGAACACAAGGTGCAAAACCAACTAAAGTAACACAGTGCTTACAAAGCAAACAACTGGGCTGACAGCTCACCAGCATAACATGTATTCTAATCACAAGTTCTCAGTTAATTAATTGATTGATGTCTGATCATAAAGTTTCAATTTAAATGAAATATTTATACAAGTGTATACACATATACATATAAATATAAAAAATAATCTTATTTTCAATCAATCAGAAATGCCAAAAATCTTAATGAATGTGGAAGGGAAAAACGATACAAAAGGCTGTTTTTATCAAAATTTGAAATGAAGCCGATCCAAAAATGTTGGAAGATGAATGTTGTTGGAGATATCTTGGGTGCCATTAGTCCGAGGACCATTACCCACATGCAAGCACTTGTTTATGTGGGCGTTAGTGTTACCATATGTGTGATTTAGTGTTCAAACTGAACTGTATAAACCGTTCTATCACACTGCACTAATGCCAAGGCCTACTGCTAACCTGTATATCAGGATCTTTATGTAACACAAACATCTAATTTATCCCTGCTCCACAGCTCCGTACACAAACCTTCCCGTTATCTCCACACATATATTTCATGACACATATCCCAAAGATTTCAGCAAGACCACTTTTTTAGCCATTACTACATCAAATATACAGAATTTAACTTGTGCAAGATCTGATATTGTGTCAAATGAGAGTCGTTACATAAAGTCTAAAACTCCTGTATCCCTCCCTATACCAGTCCATAATTCGTATTACCCTGTTACGATCACTGAAAATATAAGGCAATTATTCGGCTGTAACATCATGTTGTAAGTA